TTCCTCATCTGTGCGCACACATCATTTATGCACAAATTGTGACCCAGGAATAGCTACCAGGAGTGATGACTTTCAGAAGTTTGAGACCTTAGCATTCTCCCCTGCTCCTGCATCCAGAGTAGAAGCATTCCTTCTTGCTTCCACTTCTTAACCTGTGCTTCCTGGGGCCCAGTGCTTAGTACCTTGTCATCATGCCAATTCTGGCGACAGAACTGGCAATTGTTTCCATCAACCATTTGACCAATTCTCCATACCTCCAGTTTTGTTATGCTATATTGAGGTTAGTAGATTTTTCCTAGTTTTTTTTTTTTTTTTTTTTTTTTTTTTTTTTTTTTTTTTTTTTTTGACAGGCAGAGTAGACAGTGAGAGAGAGAGACAGAGAGAAAGGTCTTCCTTTTCTGTTGGTTCACCCCCAATGGCCGCTGCGGCCAACGCACCACGCTGATCTAAAGCCAGGAGCCAGGTGCTTTTCCTGGTCTCCCATGCGGGTGCAGGGCCTAAGCACTTGGGCCATCCTCCACTGCACTCCCAGGCCACAGCAGAGAGCTAGACTGGAAGAGGAGCAACCAGGACAGAATCTGGCGCCCCGACTGGGACTAGAACCCAGGGTGCTGGCGACTCAGGCGGAGGATTAGCCTATTGAGCCGCGTTTTAAGTAGCAGTGCACTGAATAATTTTGTATCCAAACTATCCTTCACGATTTACTTAAAAAGAAATTATCACAAAATTTATCACTACTGATTCAAATCCAGTAAGCATATTTGTTGGACACGTGTTATATAGAATTGGAAAGAATGTGAAAATATCTGTCTTCTCTTTAATATTTTCCTATCTATTTTCCTCTTTTAATTCCTGATGGCAAAGAGCATAGCTTAAAATTTTTAAAAACTTTCTGTGGATGTAGAATTGTTCCCCCTTAAAACTCAGTAAAAGTTGAGTCTTGCAGTGAGTATAGGATGGCTTTGAATATTCAGCAAAGCAGCACCTGCAGTTGCCTTCACAAACCATAGTGCGCAGGAAGGCTTTCCCTGGCCTTCTTTCCACAGCATCTGCTGCCAACGGGCGATGTGCTCTGAGAGGAGCCCTGCCAGGGGGGATTTACCTTACCAACATCCTCTTTCCAGATGTTCCTTCCCTATGGCACGTCCTGAATTATGAGGTTCTGGGAGATGATTGTAATCACTGAGATGACAGGTCACACCTGGAATTCACCACTCTTTCCTCCGCAAAACAATTTCCTGAAGTTAAATGTCAAAGCTAAGTTTATTGCTAAGGGACTTGGTTGTTTTTCCATGCAGTCAGATATCAGTGCTGAATATTAGCTTACTATAATATTTAGCACTTCAAAAAATAGATAGATATGTAAAGATAAATTTAACCTACTTTATGATCAGGTGGGATAAATACACTGTCAAGGTACACCATCAGGCCCGTGCCGTGGCTCAATAGGCTAATCCTCCACCTGCGGCACCAGCACACCGGGTTCTAGTCCCTGTTGAGGCGCCGGATTCTGTCCCGGTTGCCCCTCTTCCAGGCCAGCTCTCTGCTGTGGCACAGGAGTGCAGTGAAGGATGGCCCAAGTGCTTGGGTCCTGCACCCCATGGGAGACCAGGAGAAGCACCTGGCTCCTGCCTTTGGATCAGTGCGATGTGCCGGCTTCAGCGCGCAGGCCACGGCGACCATTGGAGGGTGAACCAACGGCAAAGGAAGACCTTTCTCTCTCTGTCTCTCTCTCTCTCTCTCTCTCTCTCACACTGTCCACTCTGCCTGTCAAAAAATTAAAAGAAAAAAAAGGTACACCATCATTTCTCTTTAATATGTATACTTTCTGCCTCGACTCAGTTATATGTTTTAAATATATCCATAAGTAGCCAGATTAGACTGTGAGCTCTGTGATCTAGCTTTTAAAAAGAAGGAGGGGCAGGTTAACACCCTGGCGTGAAGCACTGGCATCCCATATGGTCGCTGGTTCTAGTCCTGGCTGCTTCTCTTCCGATCCAGCTCTTTGCTTTGGCCTGGGAAAACAGTAGAAGATGGCCCAAGTCCTTGGGCCCCTGCCCCCACGTGGGAGACTGGAAGAATCTCCTGGCTCCTGGCTCCAGATAGGCACAGTGCCGGCTGTTGCAACCATCTGGGGAGTGAACCAACCAAAGGAAGACCTCTCTGCCTCTTCCTCTCACTGTCTGTAACTCTACCTCTCAAATAAATAAAGATTTTTTTTTATTTGACGAGTTAGACAGTGAGAGAGAGAGACAGAGAGAAAGATCTTCCTTTTCCCTTGGTTCACCCCCCGACAAATGGCCGCTACGGCCAGAGCATTGCCCCGATCCAAAGCCAGGGCTTCCTCCTGGTCTCCCACACAGGGTGCAGGGCCCAAGCACTTGAGCCATTCTCCACTGCCCTCCCGGGCCACAGCAGAGAGCTGGCCTGGAAGAGAAGCTACTGGGATTAGAACCCGGCGCCCATATGGGATGCCAGCGCTGCAGGTGGTGGATTAACCAAGTGAGCCATGGCTCTGGCTCCGGAAATAAAATCTTAACAGAAAAAGAAGATGGACCAAGTCTTTGGGCCTGTGCACCCATGTGGGAGACCCGGAAGAAGCTCCTGGCTCCTGGCTTCAAATCGACACAGCTCCGGCCTTTGCCATCATCTGGGGAGTGAACCAGGGGATGGAAGACCTCTCTCTCTGTCTCTACCTCTCTCTGTAACTCTGTCTTTCAAATAAATAAATAAATAAAAGGAAACCACTATATAAGTTTTTGTTTTTTAATAGTGAACATTGGTATGTGTGTATGTGTATATATGTATATGCATATGTATATATCCACGTGCATTTTAATAATTACTTTATCAAACTTATACCTACTTGCAGATATTCAAATGACAATTTTGTGGTTTCTATGAGTTTATTTTTATTCATGCCTCTATTCACCAGTAAGTCACAAAAATTTCTCTCTACTTTCTTCTTACATTATTTTAATGTTTTTATTTCAGTACTGTTTCGGTTGAGCTGAAAAGAGTCATCTGTTTGGGATGATTTTTATTTTTTATTATTTTCCTGAGAATAGCTCACTGAGGAGTTTGATGATGATATGTTTTACATGCCAATTAAACCATGTCATTTAGGAACAGTTACAGTAGTATATCACTTAGGAACAAGCCTTTTCCTCAGTCATGTAAACTCTTATGTATAATCAAATACTGCATATTTGTAATCATATCATCCTTGATTTAATTGTAGCAGAGTTTTGGTTTCATAACAGAATCAAAGATGATATTCAAAGTATGGGGAATTTAATTCACAATCACAATAGATTTCAGTAACTGGTTTTTAAAACAACTGCAAAAATATCTCTTGCATAATAAGCTCAAAGAATAGAACAATTAAAAGGGTTCTAGTAAAAAAATATTGTTTTCTGGTAATTGAAAAGGTGTTCAATCACCAGCTATTTAGATATGAACTAGAACTGGAAGAGTGGCGTTGTGTACTTTTTATAAAGAATACCAAAGCTTATTCATGGCACCAGTCAGTAATGCCCACTACCACAGTGATGAAGTTTGCAAACAATTTTAAGGCTTGAGAAAAGGGCAGTACTGAAATTAAAGTCAAATACCAAGTATGTGTTTTGCAGCATCTCATCATCATAGCTAATACAGCCACTTTTATATGTCCTTGATCATACATTGACTTATTTACAACAGCTATATAGGGTTTGTCCAACTGTTGTCTCTAGCTTTCAGAGGAGGATACTACAGCTGAAGTGGATTGATAGACTCACCCTGGACAATTCAACCACCTAGCAGACAACCAAGGGTTTATATCCATACCATTTGAGGATTGTATGAAACCCTTTGGTTTCCAGAGACTATGGAAATTTAATACGTGATGATGGTTTAAGAATTTTTCTCTGCAACATTTGACACAGTGTGTTCCATGATGAAATTCTGGAATAATAGTGTCTTTAGTCTGATACATCAGAGAAAACACAATGTGATATTTCCCCTATCACTCTTATAAATTCACAGTGCTCTAACAGGTTCTAAGGAGTCCTGAAGGGAAGAGGACTTACTTTTTCAAGTCATTACTGACGAGAATCCATTCCTTTACTATCCTTAAAATTTGTCCTTTTTAGGATGTCAATGCTGAGAAAATGTCAATGCTGAGAAAATCTAGCCTAACCACGTTCCTGATAGAAAATTGAAGCCAAAAATGCCTTTCTGACCCTCAGATCTTACCTTCCCACCTCTGCCTCCAATCTACTCCCAGACAATGCATCCTGGCAGGTAGAAAATGATTGCTAAAATACTTGGGTCCCTGCCACCCAGAGAGACCTCAATGGAGTTCCTGACTCCTGGCTTGAGAATGAAAGCATTCTCAATTTCTCTCCCTCCCCCCTTCTGTCTCTCTGTCACTCTGCCTTTCAAATAAATAAATTTTAGAAGTTATAGAATAGGCGGGCGCTGCTGCTCACTTGGCCAATCCTCCACCTGCAGCACCAGCATCCCGGGTTCCAGTCCCGGTTGGGGTGCCGGATTCTGTCCCATTTGCTCCTCTTCCAGTCAAGCTCTCAGCTCTGGCCCAGGAAGGCAGTGGAGGATGGCCCAAGTGCTTGGGCCCTGCATCTGCACGGGAGACCAGGAGGAAGCATCTGTCTCCTGTCTTCAGATCCATGCAGTACGCCAGCTGTAGCAGCCATTTGTGGGGTGAACCAATGGAAAAGGAAGACCTTTCTCTCTGTCTCTCTCTGTCTCTCTGTCTCTCTCTCTCACTGTCTAACTCTGCCTGGCAAAAAAAAAAAAGTTATAAAATAAATAAGTCCAATTAACAAAGATTTCACAGTCTTCAAGGTTCTGGAGAATTCGTCTTTTTAGGTGAGGACCATGGGCCATATGTACATTTCATCATCATATCTTTATTGCATTGTATCATGAAATTAATCATTTATAGTTCAACAAAATTTATATTTCTTTTCTGACCACTGCATGTTTTGGCATTTCAGTTCCTCCGAAGATATATGACATCTCAAGTGATATGACCATCAATGAAGGAACCAATGTCACCCTTACTTGTTTGGCCACTGGGAAACCAGAGCCTTCCATTTCTTGGCGCCACATCTCCCCATCAGGTAATGTAGGAATGTATCGGTATTGCTTGTGCTCTTCATTATTCTTCTGTAACCTCATTGTTCAGAACTTAAGAGTTAACTTTTTTAATTTTGTGTTTATTTTTCATGAGGTGGGCAGGATGCATATTTTTATACTTCCCCTTTAGATCTAAAAGCACTGCAGAACACAATAGTTACATCAAGTTTCAGTTCAAGACCAGAATAGAATTTTTGTCTCTTGATTCTTAGTCAAGGTTAGGTTCACTTTAGTATACTAAATAATCAAAATTCAATTGATAAAAGGTTCAAATGGAAACATCACAAGAAAAACATCTTCATTTAAATATGAGGGGATTTATTCAGTCAGCATTCATGTATTAATACACCAGCATGAACTGTTAAAGTAATCAGAGGAGAATGAAATTATGGAAATGATGAGGTTGCTGAGTCTAATTTCAAATTGTAGTTGACAAGCAAGGATTTTGGGGTTAGAATTTAACTGACACAGGATCTAAAAGCCCAAGAATTTAAGTAACTTGTTCAAGATAACATAAGTAGGTGAAATTAAGGGATTGCCAGTGTTTTTGTTATAGTACACAGCTTCTCACAACATATGTCAATTTTTGGAAGTTGCTGATAATTATCATCAAACAGGGTTGTTTCTACGGGCCAATTCTAAAAATTATAAAATTGAGTAAAATATAGATGTGTGAACTACATAGCTTTGAGACTTCCTTGGAAGTAAGAGTGGTGTTTTAATGAGCCTAGCCTACATCATTTCTGATAATTGAAATTTGATTTTATTTGTTTTGGTTTTTGTAGAAATAATTCTGACAAGGTTGTTGTGATGAAATTGCTTTTAATGAAATAAAAAAGCACATATTATTAATATAGGCATAGGAAGAACACACTTGGAGCACTATTTTATCTGCTATTTTTTTCTTTAATACTATTCATCCTTATGTGCCTTTCAGTTACTCATTTATTCAGTAAGTAATAAGACTTACTCAGACTGCATGCTTAGTATAACTATCAATGTGAGAGAAAATCAGTATAAGTATATACTTATATAATATGCCTTATGTCCCCATAATTGTTACTGAAGTATGAATATGCTCTTAACTGCTAACAGTTCACTCCATAGATCTGATACAAAAATCAAAAAAACTGGTACATGAGCAATGAGTTCATGGCAAGACACTCCATTGGGTATAATTGAAACAACCTTGGGACTAGCAGTTAGATAAATGCGCTCTTAAACTGACTCCATCATTCATAAATTCAGCTAATTCTGGTACAAAACTCTAAGACCCAGTTTCTCTCAGCTGGCTTCCTGCTTTCCAAAAATTGAATGATAATTCCTGGCTGTCTTTTAATTTACAATCAAAATGTATGTATTTATCAAGTATCACAGGAAGTTTCAAAGTATTTATACATGGTGAGTTAGTTAAATCTAGCTAATAAAGAAATAAATTATCTCACATAGATAACTCTCAATACCTACTTTTCACATTTTTTAAGTTATACAATATATGTTCATTAACTGTGTTCATTATGCACTATAATAGATGTCTGGAACTTATTCCTCCTACCTGACTATAATTATATATCTTTGACGAGTTGTGTGTCCTGGATTTTGTTAGACTTAAATAAGAGAATAGACATAAAAATATAAAGTGATATGCAAATGTATAGCTGATTCTTAATCATCTTTTTGTGGATTTAAATCTGATATGACAATATAATTTTTGTAAGAATGAAACTCATAATCTCCATTTTTATATAATTTAAGATTAATATTTTGGATTCAATTCTTTGTAGCACTTGTTATTATGCATATTATTCATTTTTAAGTGCTTGGATACATTTTAGTTTAATTAAATAGCAGGAATGTTGGTTAGTGAAGTTATTAGAATAATGATAATGGATAACATCATGAAGCTGGCAGAAGACAGATTGGGTTTATAAGTTAAACTGTGCGTAGATTTGTTTTCTGATCCTGTCATATTGAGCAAATGAGTAAAATTAGCATAAATATTAACTGCTATTCAGTGAATAAGTAGGCTGGGTGGATATTTTTATAAATACTCCCAACAACTACAAATTATAATTTGTTAATGATCTATATACAAATGTACAACATAGTGGACTCTCTACCTTAAGTAGTATGTCTAATAATTCTATTAGCTTTTATTCAATTTATATATTTATATTTGAAAGGAGCAGCACTGATCTGTTTATATTTTACCTAAGAAACATCACTTTTTTTTTTAACTTTTATTTAATGAATATAAATTTCCAAAATACAGCTTATGGATTACAATGGCTTCCCCCCATAACGTCCCTCCCACCCACAACCCTCCCCTTTCCCACTCCCTCTCCCCTTCCATTCACATCAAGATTCATTTTCGATTCTCTTTATCTACGGAAGATCAGTTTAGCATACATTAAGTAAAGATTTCAACAGTTTGCTCCCACACAGAAACATAAAGTGAAAAATAATAGATGATTTTTTAAATGATGATGAAATCAGATCAGACCTATTGTCATGTTTAATCCCAGTGAGAGTCAAGTTGGGAATTGATAATTTCTTCTTATTCTTTTTTTTTTTTTACAGAAGATCAGTTTAGTATACATTAAGTAAAGCTTTCAACAGTTTGCACCCCCACAGAAACACAAAGTGAAATATACTGTTTGAGTACTAGTTATAGCATTAAGTCTCAATGTACAGCACGCTAAGGACAGAGATCCTACATGAGGAGTAAGTGCACAGTGACTCCTGTTGTTGACTTTACAAATTGACACTCTTGTTTATGGCCTCAGTAATCTCCCCATGCTCCAGTCATGAGTTTCCAAGGCTATGGAAGCCCCTTGAGTTCTCTGACTCTTATCTTGTTTAGACAAGGTCATAGTCAAAGTGGAGGTTCTCTCCTCCCTTCAGAAAAAGGTACCTCCTTCTTTGAAGACCTGTTCTTTCCACTGGGATCTCAATAACAGAGATCATTCATTTAGGTTTTTTTTTTTTTTTTTGCCAGAGTGTCTTGGCTTTCCATGCCTGAAATACTCTCATGGGCTTTTCAGCCAGATCGGAATGCCTTTAGGGCTGATTCTTAGGCCAGAGTGCTGTTTAGGACATTTGCCATTCTATGAGTCTGCTGAGTATCTCGCTTCCCATGTTGGATCACTCTCCCCTTTATTTTTTTTTTGCATTTTTTTTAACTTTTATTTAATGAATATAAATTTCCAAAGTACGATTTATGGATTACAATGGCTTCCCCCCCATACCGTCCCTCCCACCCACAACCCTCCCCTTTCCCACTCCCTCTCCCCTTCCATTCACATCAGGATTCATTTTTGATTATCTTAATATACAGAAGATCAGCTTAGTATACATTAAGTAAGGATTTCAACAGTTTGCTCCCACACAGAAACATAAAGTGAAAAATAATAGATGATTTTTTTTAAATGATGATGAAATCAGATCAGACCTATTGTCATGTTTAATCCCAGTGAGAGTCAAGTTGGGAGTTGATAATTTCTATTTTTTTTTTTACAGAGGATCAGTTTAGTATGCATTAAGTAAAGATTTCAATGAAACATCACTTTTTTAAGTTCTTTTTTGTTTTTCTGTATCATGGGAGAAAATATGCCTCAAGACAGTAGTCAACATATGAACAGTGTTGGTGTAAAGAAAAGACAATAAGTATTCTACATGCCAATACTAGAAGCAATGCTAGTGTTTATTTCCTTTATCTGAGAGGTCAAGAAAGAGAGACAGAAGATAGAGACACAGGCAGACAGAGACTTCTCTCTCATCCTCTGGTTGACTCACTGAATCAGGCCAGGACAAAGTTTGAAGCCTGTAACTATAAACACAATCCTACTATCCCATGTGGGAAGTTATGACTAGAACTCAGTTCAGGTCTCCTACATGAGGACCTGGAATAAAATGCAGGTGCTATAATTTGGGATGTGGGTGCCCCAGCCAGTATCTTAACTAATAGGCCAAACACCTGCTCAAACACAGCAAGATTTTGCACACATGTGATTTGTTTAGTTGTTTTACCAATTCTTTGGTAATTATTGCTTATTCATAACTGAACCTTGTTTTAAAAATCAGTAACAAATGGGTGATCACAGAAAGAAACATAGTAGACCTTTTCCCTAGTCTGCAGTAAAATAAGGCCGTGGGTTCAATCACATTGCAAACATCACTCTAGCCAGTTGGAATGGGTACTTTCACTAAAAACATCTTTCCTGAGAAGTTACTTGACATATGAACTTCCTCACATTACTTACACTGAGTTTTCTGTTCTATATGTAGCAATTAATTTCAAATACAAGGTTTTAGGATGTGAACATTTAGCCTAGCAGTCAAGCTAGTTTTGAGAAATATTACCAGCTCAGTAATGATCAAAATTCAGACGTTGAAATATGAATTCCACCAAATGTGTACAAGTCTCACACCATCATAAAGCCAAAAAATTGGAAGTTGAATCATTATTAAGTTAGAATTCTTTATATACACACACATGTGTGTGAACATATATGTGTGTGTGTGTGTTTATATAAATCATTTGAGGCATACAACTTGGTCTTTTAATCTCTAAATATTTCAGTGTGCATTTCTGAAGATTAAAGGCATTCTCTTTACATAACAACAATAATTTCTAACTTCAGCAAATTTAACATTAGCATTATGATTTTATTCAATCAATAATCTATATTGCAATTTTGTCAACTGGTCCAATAGTTACCTTTCTAGAATATTTTTCAATCTAGTACAGAATCCAATCCTGGATTATTTATCATATTTAGTAACCATACTGCTTACTGATAATGACAAATAAAACTTCCATGAACAATAATGGTTCTTTCCATCTTTTTAATTTCCAATGTACATATGTTGTATACTCATATTTTAAGTGAGTCTCTTGTATGTTGAGAAAGCATGTAATTTTTTAATCTGCTCTGCCAATCTCTATTTGATTGGTGTATTCAGATAATTTAAATTTAATTTA